AAAAAAAAAAAAAAAAAAAAAAAAACGCACACATAGCAATAACATTATTACTATCATCATCCCAATTATTATTTATTAGCCGTACTTACAACAAACAACAGTAGTAATAGTCTCTCTACTGGTTTTATAACGCGAGGGTTCGCTTAAAGCGACGACCACGAGCTTCCGTACCATGGTGTCCAGCAGGTTCTATACTGTTTCGTTTTTCTATACTGTTTCGTTTTTCTATACTGTTTCGTTTTTCTATACTGTGTCGTCGATCCTCTCGCTCAGCAAATTTATATTGCAGGAGTTTCTCCATATCTTCTGCATCTCCACCACCACCGTCTTGTTGTTCTCCCGCCGTGCGGGATTCCTCTGTATCGCCGTGTCCAGCAGTATGCATCTTTTTTACAATGACGCTCTTTTCACCCTGTCCTGCTGCCAGTTGCAGTACCGATGCATATCGCATATTTCTCATCGCAGCAGAAGTAGCCGTTCCTGAGGCTGTTGTTGTTTTTCCCCCATCATCATCACCGTCCTCTCCATCATCTCCCTCTTTGTCGGTTGCATCTGATTTTGTTTTCTTTCCTTTTTTTCGCAGTAACTTTCGTGGACCTGGGGAAGTCACTCTCTCCTCTCCTGTTGTCGTTGCTGCTGCTGCTGCGGCTGGTGTATCTGCATTGGAAGGTCTGATCACCTTTACGTGTTTTTCATTATTTTGCCGTGTTTTCTGTGCTGGGCGGTATCCTTCCTTTCGCTTCGCCAACCGCTCCGCAATGCTCTCGGTAACGCCGCTGCGGAGTGGCTTGAAGGCTGCAGTGATACTACTGTCCTCCACGTGTGTGATGATGGCCTGCACAATATACCGTGAACGCTGCATGGCACTCTGCACAAGTGCATTACACCGCTCCTCTCGTTTCCGCAGCGTTGATAATCCTCGTTCGCCGCCTTCCGCATCTTCTCCTCCTCCTCCTCCTCCTCCCAGCGGCAGCAGTTCCGTACTACCTTTACTGTTATTATTATTATTATTATTATTATTATTATTATTATTATTATTATTATTATTTGCCTTTCGTGCGGCCAGGGCCACACATACCGCAGCCCCTTGGCGTTGCAGAGCGGTAACGGATCCCCGCAGTACTTCCCGTGCAATGCCGAGTTCTGGCAGCACCGCACCTGCACGTTTGTTCTTCGTTATCCCATCAACGAGGGCATCCGCAATGCTGAGAATCGTACGACCCTCCGCCTCAATAAGCAGCAAACCGTGAGAGAGAAAGTTATTACTACAATCTGATGAAATCTCAAAGGCGTTACCATCCGCCGATAGTGCTGTTACAAATGCAAGTGCAAAGTGAGCTACAAGTCTCTGCGTGATGGCGGCTGCAAGTAAAGGTTGTCGCAGTTGTTGTAGTCGTTCATGGGCCCTCGCAATATGTAATAAACTATCAGCTACATACGGCCGCACAGCACCTGCGGTATGTGTAGAGACGCGTTGCCAATCCATCATGGGAGCCATAAATCCAGATGCATGTACCTCACGTGAGATACGCTGCTGTGGTGTGGCGAGAAACATTCCAAGCAGCGCATCTACCAACAACTCACAGTGTTCCCCCACAGTGGCCAAGTACTCTGTGCGAAATTGTTCTTCTTTGCGGTTTAACAATGTCTGTTGTTCTTGAGGAGTCTTCGCCTCTGGTGTGAGTCGCACTACCACCTGCAAGATACACGGCTGAATAAGCTCCGAGGCCACAATAGGCACAATTGTGGTTGGTAAACACAAGGCATCGGCGAGACTTTCAATAATGACACTTTCCCGTGTTTCTGGAGCCGCACCGGCATCGAGAGAGACACGTTGACAGTTATGATGAAGTGCATCTACAAAGACAAGAAGAATATTTGCCACAAGCGCTAATAACATCTCTTCATGTTCGGCTACATGCTCAATTACCATTTTACTATTACATTGGGACATGAAAGCCGTCGTCGCATCTAATTCTGTTGCCTCTTCTGTATCGGATTTCGTTTCTTTTGTTATTTTGCGTCGCAACAGACGTGAATGACCTTTCTGTTGCTGATCCATTTGAGTATTCACATCTTCTTTGCGTTCCGCCTTTGCCGCAAATAGATCAATGCCATCATATACTTCATCAAAGCGGTGTAGAAAAGGTGCTGTACGGTCCACCACAACAGAAAGAAGATTAAGTAATTTACACGCCATTGCAGAGGAGACAAACTCGCGACTCACACGAGCACACACGGCACCATCTACAACACGTCCTGTTGTTGAGGTTTGACGAAGTGATGGTAACAGTGTAATATATGCCTTTGCAAGCATACCAACACCATGTGAATAACAACGGAATAGATTAGATCGCAGTTGCTCTAATTCCTCTAGTAAATCACCCATTTCCTGTGCCTGTACTTCACTCACTAACAATGCAGAGGTGCAACTCTCACCAATAACGACCTTCATACGCCGTACGGCGTTGCTCACATAAAGCATCGCCCGTTCCCACTGCGCAAGAATCACTTCTACGAGAATAGCCGCATGTAATTCAATACGCTCATCCTCCACCTCACCATCAATGGGAAGATCACCCACACGATAAGATGCCATGGTTTGCACAAAACTTTGTAGAACTGTACGGTTCACAGTGGTGAGAAGAAGTGCATGGAGAATATCACTCGCAGCCTTTACGCTTTTACGTACCGCATCTACCGACTGTTCTCGTAATGAAGGAGCCCCATCTCTTATTACTGGAACATACGTTAATCGTGGAAGTTCATCCACACCACTGGTCAGACTTACTGTTACACTCACCGTAGGATCTACAGCGGCAGTCTCACGTTTACCCAAAACAGCAGGTCCATTTATCATTCGGTACAACACACTGTTGGCATCGGGATCAAAATCAAACATTCCCGCATGTACTGCAGCTGCAATACCACCCCAATAAGATACCAAAACGAGTTCTAAATGATCTACACAGGAAGTAAATAAACGGTCTGCTAGGGTCCCAGCTGCGGCGGCTTCGGCGCTAGCAGAGATATTTATTTCCACATCTGTGTTGTCCATCACTTGCTGAAGAAGTGCATCACTATACATGGCTAGTTGTGCGGCAGAGCAATTTAACACTCCACCCATCTCTACTTCGCCTATGCTAAAAGTTGTAAAACGAGCAAAGTTGGATTCAGGTGTCCGGAATGCTTCTAGAATGGCTTCTGCGTTTGGCAATCCGCCCTGTCCTGTTACATCCACATCAAAACCTCCAACAGTAATACGATCCCCAATACTGGCATCAAGGGCAATATCCGGTAAACCTAAAGCTCCAGTGTTGAACAATAAAAAGGAATCATTCGCATTTCCTAATAAAGCCCCATTTCCAGTAGGGAGCATAAAACTATTTGTAAATCTAGCATCATTCCTACCACCCCGTCCTAATTCATCATTGCTGTTCATCTCCTTGGGTCGTGGCATAAACTTTTGTCTCCATTCATCTGCCTCTCGGCTGAGACGCAATGCTGTTGATTCCATCATACGTGTATGTTGATTGCGGGTGATGCGAATATAATATTCCACCGGATGTTCCATACGTTGTTGTTGCTGTTGTGATGATGATGGTTGCTGTTGTGATCCTTGGGCCGCAGACGGCACTGCATTGGCTGTTGTGCAGCTGGAGTTTGCCTCCGTTCCTGTAAGGGATGCGTACATTGGTGTTGACACTCCTCGAGGTGATAATGCTCCACCGCTGCTACTTCCACCACCATCTTCTTCTTCATCATACACATCTGCAGCATCGGCAACAGCACCTTCCCGCAGCTCTTTCCGCAGTCCAGACATGACCGCATCATGTTTAGATACGACTCGTAATCTATTTCTAGCCGTCCAGCAGAAATGCCGAAGTTTCACTCCTGCAATAGCCGTATCCATCATAGAGGATAGAATGTCTTCAATAAGAACAGTATCGGCTGCATTGGCGTGCCGCAGTTCAACCGCCATCTGTTCACTAAGATAGAGTGCAGCTCGTAATAGTGCCAAGGCATAACGATATGTAAGGGCAATAGCTCCAAACTGCTTTCGCTGCTGACCACCTGGACTGTTCATATGCCCAAGACTCTTCTCATCATCTGTGTTGTTGTTATTATTAGCATTATTATTGTCATCATCATCTCCGGCCCCTACACCGAGTACAATCCCCTGTTCAAGATCATAATTCTCCTCCAAATACAACATCGCACGCCGCAGACTTAAGACAGCCGCCTCAAAGTTTTTCGCATCGCCTGTTGGACGCACATCACCACCAGCACCACTACTACTACCACTACTACCAATACTACACCGGCGTGCTAATGGTGTTCCATACCAGTATGTTAACTCTTCGCCTGGTAATAATAAGTAATCATTATTTGTGCCAGCATCATCGGGGAGTTCCTCCAGAGCTCCGCGAGCCACCCGTTGCCATTCATCATCTTCAGCGTCAGAGTCTCCCATAGGGTGAGCAATATCACTTCTTCTTTCACTTCTTTTGCTACTGTTATCGCTATCGTTATCACTGTCGCTGCCGTTGCTGACATTGACGCTTCTTCTACTTCTATTGAGGCTTATGTTGCTATTGCTTCTAATACTACCAGCATCCTCATCATCATCATTATCATCATAAATAGTACTTCTACGTCTTCTATTTCGAGTTCCATCTTTTTTGAACTCTTCCCATTTTATATTCTTCTCTCGTGACACATCCGATTGTCGCTGTGGTACCCGCACTCCACAATACTCATAAATAACACCAGGAACACTCCATACCGTCATAAGTTTCGCAAGTATTTCCTTCGTAAGTTTACTGGCCCTCAACTCCTCAAAGAGTTCAACTGTTGGAGCCACAAGTGCCTCTCCTTCCTTTAGTGTGGATTGAAAGGCATCATAAATTGGATCAATCGCCTCACCTGTAAAGAGAGATGTGTCATTTGCATACATCACATCCATTGCCTCTTTACATCCAATAAATGTTTTCATACTATCTCGGATCAACTCCTTTAATGCCTCCTCCGTAACGTCCGCCTCGTGGATGACTTGACTCAGAAGTGTATTCTCAAAATCCACATGAGTGGCATCTGCATACATACGACGAATGTACGCCTTTGGGTCAAACGTGCGACTCGTTGGATCGAGTTCCGGCGCATTCACATCAGCAGACGCCGTCTTATCAGTCATTATACAACTAGAAAATTTTTTTCTATTGTCTTTTTTTTTTGTTTTCGTTCCTTCTGTACACCACGCCCCTCACTAGGAATACTGCAAGAGGTAGATAAAATACGGGGGAAAAAGAAATACTAAAAGAAGAAATGACAATAACCATAATAATAACCATAATAATAATAATAATAATAATAATAATAATAATAATAATTATTATTATTATTATTATTTTTAAGTTAAAGAAAACAAAACAAAACAAAAAAGTCATCACACTCGGAATAATGTCCTCACTTTCTTTATTTCTCTATCTTCAGAATAGATTGATATACATATATACAAACACAAAGATATATATATATATATATATATATATATATATATATTACCTTTTTCTGTATATACAGGCAAACAGATCGGTGGAGAAAAAAAAAAAAAAACGCTGGCCTATACCCAGAGTATGTACGTACCTCTCTCTTTCTCTACCTTTCTTTCTCTCCCTACTTTTATTGAGGGAAAAAATGAGAGAGACACACATAAAATGGGAGCAAAACGAAGAAACACACGCAGACACACAGACACACACAGAGAAAAAAAGGACCATATATAAAGTTTACCAGATCAGCGGTGTAGCTTCATAATCCTGAAAAAAAAAAAGAAAAAAAAAAAAACACTACTCCCACTCCTATCATTCGTTCGTTGCATTGGTTTCTTTTCTTTTTCGGAGACTGAATAATTTTTTTAATCAAATCATTCAAAAACCTCCTCATATATATTTTTATATTCTTTTACTTTATCATGTTCATGTTTTGCTCCTTCCCTTGATTTTTTCTACACTTTCCCCATATCACTGAACAGCAACTCTTGCGAGGTAGTTTTCTCCCCTACTTTTAAGTAGAAAAAAAACAATAAGTAACTCAAGCATACCAAAACAAAACAAAACAAAAACAAAAAAAAAAAAGACATTGAAAAGCAAAAAAAAAAAAAAAACCAATTCCTAACAACAACTACCACACCTTCCCAAATCGTTTTGTTTTATTATTATTTCTCTCTTTCACTAACTTTCATACTTATTGCGCCGATGACTCTTCGCTATGCCGAGAGAATGGCTCTGTGGAGTACTTCATGCATTCCTCGTCTTGTATCGTAGTGGCGAAGGCTGTTTTCTGCATCGCTTCCTCCATGGCCGTTGTGTAGTGTTTCCCTGTATCTGCCATCCGCTGAATCATATTTCGCATACGAAGTCTAAAGTTGCGTAGAAAACGCGTCTCATAAAAGGTCTGTAGCTGCGCACTGACATTTTGTGTGTAAGCCGCGTATTTAGCGTGTGCTGCTGGTTCACCGACAAGACTACCTAGATGTCGCCATAGACACAAGACGTGATCAATAGCGTCTATCCCGGCATCGGCGTATGCCACCTCGAAGAGCAGCCGCTCGTACACCTCCCGCTTGTTCTTTGCCTGTTGAGTATCGATGGAGCACGCTGCTGCCACGGTGAAGTCGGAGGCCTCCCGCACAACCCGTTCGAGTCCGGCGTGCACACTGCCGGCGGCGTGGAGAACTGCGGCGGTGCGCTCCAGTCCGGTGGCGACGTCTTTCATCGCCATCACGGCACCAACGGCGTGTTCCATCGCGGAGAGATACGGCCGGGCGGTGGCGGCGAGGGCCTCGCGGTGGGCGACGAGATCCTGCAGCGTCTCCGTCCAGTACTGCACGGCCGCAGCCGCATTGCTGTGCCGCTGGGAGTTCACATTGACATTAGCGGCGGGTGAAGAAGAAGAGGCCGGCGGCTGTCGTGAGGGATACTCCGCGGCGGCACCCACACCAGCGTTGCTATTGCTAGTAGTACTATTATTATTATTATTATTATTATTATTATTATGACCACGACGACGTCCATGATCATCATTATCACCAACATTCTCATCTTCCTTCCCACCACCCATCCATGAGTGAATAAAACCAAGAAGTTTTCGTACAACCTTTGTGGAACCATCAGTAAAGGTTGCAACTGAGTCACTACCAAGCAATCCACCTTTACGTGTACTGTGGGCATCAATAGCGGCATTGCAACGACGAAATTCCTCCAACACCGACCGCATTGTGCCAAACCAATCTTCAAAACTCTCACGGGGGAGCTGGAAGAAATTTGGTGTATATAAGGAAAAGTAAATAAACTCTGGGCACATGGCAATTTCGCGAAGAAAACGTACGATAGTATGTTGTTGAGCAACAAGAACGTTTTCATTTGTAAGAAACGTACCAAGGTCATCAAACTTTGACTTGGGTGGAAGAGGTGGGACTATAAGGGTTGGAAACTGATTTACTAACAGCATTCGAAAATCCACTAATTCACTGTAGCGACGATCAACATGTGCCGGGAACGATTCCGCCCAGCGATTCGCTCGGACGCCAATATCCATTGAGCTCAGATGCGGTCCGTGTGGAATTTGCGGTTCACTGTACATGGATGAATTGGTAGATCTAAGGTTCGTAACGATAGGAAAGAACGTAATAGGGCGAACCATGCCAGTACTTAATACAGCTGTCTCTACAACGAAGGTTGCGAGCTGCACAGACTCTGGTTTTGTCGCAGGGATTCGGCCATTACTGCTAACACTTTGTGGTTGTGATGGTTGTTGTTGTTGTTGTTGTGGTGGTGGTGGTTGATTTTGTGACTTTGGTTGTGGTTGATGTTCCTCAAATGGGTTTTCGGTGGCGTGTACGTGATCTTCTACACTGGGTTCAGCAGAAGACCTTAGCATTGTCAGGTTTACAGATGCTATAAATCTCTAGAAAATTTAGTCAAGAAAAAAAAAAAAAAATAAAATAAACATGATAAGGATACGAAATATACATACATATAAACACATATAAACATATGTGAAAGAGAGACCCAGAGGTACCTATCATTAATGAACCAAAGCAAAGAAACAAATATACTTTTTTCTCCAACTACACTTCACTTCATTGGTTTCATTTGTGTTTTTTTTTTCCCCCTTTCTTTCTTTCTTTCCTTTTGTTTTTCTTGTAGCACTTCTGTACATTTCCAACGTTTTCCAACCTTTACACATACAGGACTTCCTCATCTTCACTACGCCAACATCATCATGATCCACACTCGTAGAAAACTATATCATGGTGTCACTATTCAGTCATTGCCTTGGCAGTGATTGGGGGAAGTCCTACTGAAGATCCGAGTGCCAAACTCTTCTGGAGGTTTTGCAGCACTAATTGCTGCCGGTTGGTGGCGGCCACCAACTCCCGGTGTTTTGCAGCACTCTCCAATACACTTTCCCGCATAATATTGGATGCCTCTTTACGCTTCTCATAATCTAAAAGAAGTTTCTCAGATCCAACCATTGGCATCTTTTCTCGCATCTTTATATTAGAGTTGGTAAAATGATCACGACGGCGTTTGGTTTGTGCCAATTTATCACGTACACCATTAAGTTCCTCCTCTGTTGCTGCCACCTGACGCCGAAGTTGGGCATTCTCTACCTTCATGAACTCCAATTTCTCCTTTACATGAGTCAGTACATGAATAGTGGTGGTGACCTTACGCCGTAACTTTACAAGGTCTTCATTGCGTTCCTCTATTTTTTCATTAAGATTTGTATTCTCAATTTTCAATTGCTCAAAATCAATAAGGTTCATTCCATCTTGCTGTTGTTCACGTTGTGCTGCAGTTTTTTGTAATTTTTCAACCTCATGACGCAAGAGAATATTGCGTATACGTGCATTACGTATTTCACGTCTTTGATCCATCTCTCTGTTAAGAAATTCCTCAATCTCCTCCTTGGTAAGTCGACGATTGGTACGCACAAAGACCGACTTCTCTGCAAACTCCCGTATATACTGTCGGAAGGCATCTTCCTGTCGGAGTGCCTCATCAATGGTTCCCTGATGTCGTGCCTGTATCTCTGCGAGTAGAGCCTCCGACTCTTCCTTCTGTGCCTGCGCGATGCAGTGCTCCTCGTGCATTTGTCTAACGGTCGTCCAGTACTGCTGCTCCGCCTCGGGCGAGACGGACTGCGGCGGGGCCTCGCCTTTGCGCTGCCGCTGCGCCGCGAAGTACCGCGCCAACTGCCGCTGGCAGGCAAGACTGCGCTCCACAACGGCACCGCGGGCATCCAACAGGCGACTGTACTCGTTAAGGAGATATTGGGAATTGTCCATCGGGGTCTCGCCCGCATCGTCGTCCTTCGCCGCAACAGCAGCAGCAGCAGCGGCGGCAGCAATCGAAACAGATGGCTTTTCCATTCGTTGTGCAGCTTCATGCTCACGCCGCGCAGCAAATTCTCGCCAACGCCGTTGGATAACGCCTGCCGCACTGGACTGCAGGGCCTCTTCTTTCATCTGCTGATCATCGTACTCGTACATGATTCCCCCACACTATTACACCAGCTAATATATAAAGACGCACCCATATAAAAGTAATCAGAGAAAAAAAAAGGAGATAAAAAAGAAAAAAAAATAGAAGAAAAGACATACAAATAAGAAAAAAAAGCATGTAATCAAGAGTGTAGTTGTTTGGAGTGAACGCAAACAGTTTGCCTTTTTTTTTTTGCTCTCAAAAACCCAACTGCCAGTGTCAGGACACTCTCATATAAATAAAAGAAAAAAAAAATATTTATCGTTCCTCTTCTACTTCTTTTGCTCCTTTAAACGCAAAAAAAAAAAACATAATAATTGTCGATAGGGTTTAACATTTGCCTCTTTTGCTTTTCACTTGTTGTCCCCAGTGGAAAGTGTTTTTTTTCTCTTTTCTTTTTGCCTTTCCTTTTTCGGGTAATCACATTTTTGCCACCTCCCTAATACTCTCCAAAGCTTCCTCGAGTGCTGCCTCATCGCCCTCCTCGTGAAAGACTTGCACTTCACCAACAGCACGTCGCACTAAAATGTGCGTGCCTGTGCGCTCCTCGAGTTCCCGCAACTTTTTACTGCCTGTTCCCATAAGTGTGCCAATGCGCTGCGGTGGGAACTCCCGCACACGGCGCACCGATGATGTCTCCTTCGCCGCGATGAACTCCTGGAGTTTCTCTGCTGCTGATGCCGCTTCATCGGGGACGGGCGAACTCACAATTGCCATTTCTTCAGAACGTCTTAACTGCACACGCAGCAACGGCGAGTAGCCGGCGGTGAGTTGTCCGATAAACGACGATGACGGTGAAGATCCACCGCGCGGACGGGTGAGAGTGGGAAAGAGCACCTCCGGGAAAGAAACACTAATTTCTCTCGGATGACACTTTAGTGCGAACTCCTTGAGCATTACATGAGCCTTGTTTACATGCTCTTCTTTTCCCCGCAATAGTATAACTCCCTCCGTCCTTAAGGGCGTCATATATTCACAATGTGAGGCCTGCTTGATTGCTTCAAAGGGTGTAAGTGTCGTAGAGACATGCTCACCAGATAACTCTTCTTCTTCTTCTTCTTTTTGTTCTTTTTGTTGTTGCTCTTGTTGCTCTTGTTTTAAAGACAATGGTGATGATGGAGATAATGATGATGATGATGATGATAATACTTCATGTGTCCCTACTCCATTCTCTTCCGCTTCTTCTTTTTCATTTTTATCCTCTTGGATCTTGGGGGAACCAAAGTTACTACTACCGGCAACCTCTACCAAAGCGGTTGTCAAAAGATGCATCATAGTTGTATCCAACGGCACACGTACTTCTACGCGACGTAAATTGTTTAGCATCAAACACGCCGCCTCTACTGCCTGTGATGTGCCACGTACAGTGATGCTACCATCCCCTACTTGCAGCAACGCACCGGTGGTATTTTCAATATTCCGCACAGTACGTCCTTTAGATCCCAGAATAAAACGTATTGTGTTATTATCACATCGCATCACAATGGTAGAGCGACGGATATCTTCAAGAAGTTCCTTGTAACGACGCAGTACCTCATTCACAGATGATTCAGAACCCTTGACGACAATCTTGGATGCTGTGCGGTCCACATGAATAGAGGAAACACCTGTCTCCTCCTCCATGCGTTTAATAACGCTGCCATCTTTACCAATCACATGTGGTACTTCGGATGAGTCCAGGGAGAGTTCCGCACGGTGTTGAGAAGAGAGGAATCGCGATACCAGTACTTCTGCTGCTGCTACGGCTTCTTTTGTGCCGCGTAGAGTAATCTCATCATTCCCCACCTGCACACTTGCGCCACTCTCTCGTTCAATACTCTGCACATTGGCACCACGTGTACCGACCAAACGCCTCCGCAACGTGGTATCGTACTTTAACTTTATTTCGTGACTGCACATCTCTTCTGCAGTAATAATATCCTTAATAGCAGCTACGGCAGCATCCATATCAGCTGTACTTCCCACTACATAGCCACTGCCGGCACTAACACCATCAATGCAAATAGCCACACCAAAGTCTACCTGTAACTGTTCTAAGGTTGAGCCACCTTTACCGATAATAGCGGATTTAAACTTTGTTGGGTATGTAAAGGTACGATACGGCAACTCTTTGCGTAGTATTTCAAGTTTCTTGTCAATAGCGCGAAGATTCACAATATATGTTTCCTGCGTCTGCCGCAGGTTTTCCATTTCCTCACTTACTGGCCGTTGTTGTTTACGTGAGCGAAGCGCCTCTTTGAGTTCGTTCTGTAATCGTTTAAATTCACTTCGGAGTGTTGTAAATTGCGCATTACGTTCTGTAGGATCTTTCTCCATGGCCTGAAGTTGTTCGCGCAGTTTTACACGCTCCTCTTCCTTCGCTCGCTGTTCCGCCGCTTTTGCGTTAAGTTCTGCACGAGATGTTTCCACACGGCGGCACTTTGCGGCTATACGATCGTCTGCTGCAGCGAGTCCCTGCAGCTCCTCTTTCGCCTGCTGTTCCACCTGCATACGTTTGCCGCGCAGTACAGACGCCCCACTACCACACTTTGCAATTTCTTTATCAATTCGATTCAGTTCCTGCTGTACTTGATCCATTGTGGAAAAACGCAGACGGCTCACCCGTGTGGCGCGTTCTTCACGCAGGCGGTTGAGTTCTTGTGTCTCTCTCTGCAACCCATTTTCTAAATCCCGTATTTCTCGAGAAAGTGTGTTGCCAGCGTGATCTATTGCTTGAATTTCCTGGCGCAGGCTCGCACATTTGGCCTGCAGCGTTTTCAGTTCGTCAAGCGCTGCGAAGACTTTATCCTTCTCTAATATGAGAGCATCAATAGTGGCAGTCATCTCTGCATTGAAATTCTCAAGTTTTGGCATGTACTCGGCAAGACATTTGTCCTTTGCCTGAACCAGACTCCGTAGTGCCTCGGATATGCTCAGACGCTGTTCACGCACAGTTCGTTCTTCCTCCAACAGTCCTCGTACTTTTGGGTCTGTTATGGCATCAAGGCGCATTGAGGAAGGCAATATGGCAGGAAGTACTTCCATATTCTTTTTTTTTTTTTTCGTTTTATATAGTGATAACGATCTATAATAACACTCCACCACTAGAAGCGAAGAAAGAAAAGAGAAATAAAAATAAAAAACAAGAAAGAAGAAATAACAAACACCATCACTTACCTGTATTAAAGCTGGGTTACAAAAGTCTATGTGTACGTGTGTGTGTGTGTGTGTGTGTTTGTGTTTGAAACGCAGAAACACATAAAAGGAAGAAAAAAAAAAAAAATGATACTTCACAAACTGTAGTATGAATGAATATGAGTGTACCTATCGTTATGTATCACCGCGTGCCACTGGGTGGTGATAACACCGGTGCAGCAGTAGCGGTGTTCCACATAGGCACTGCCCGTTGCTGCTGCTGAGCTACCCTCTTTGCTTTGGCTTCCTCTGTGACTCTCTTTTCAAGACTCTCTAACCGTTCTAGTGTAAAGGATTTGATGGGCAACAACTTTGGTGGGCAAAGCAACTCTGTGTAATCCTCCACTTCGTGAAATACAAACCCATTAGCCGGGAGAATCTCCGTTAGCGCTTCATCTGACTCTGGCCTCGATGCTGCTGGTGTTGCTGTCGCAGGTTGCATGAAGGTCTTTCTTTATTTCTATCTATCTATCTATCTCTCTCTCTCTCTCTATATATATATATATATATATATATATATATATAT